ACTGTTTACTGAAGAAACCGTCCTTTTCCCAACAGTGAAAGTAGCACCTGCGGTACCACAGCTGATGGCCCCCATTCTTCCTCTCGGTAGTAACAGAGCCCTAGCCTTCGCTGGGCACATAGCCATCCAGCTAGAGACGCTATTTCCTAGTTTCCTTTGGTGCTAGGTTGTGGCCAACAAGATGTAAGCAGAAGTGAGGTATGAAATCCCAAAGACATGTTTTCATAAGGAAATTGCTTCCCCTCCAATATTACTCCCCCTTCCCATAGCCTTAAATATAGACTTCTACTGGAGAGCCAGCTTTGACCACGTGGACGAGGCTGTCTCCCGGGCGGTGGCAGAACAGTAAGATGGATGTAGCTGGGTTTCTGAATGACTGCATGGAGCAGAGCTGCCTGCCACCACCTGGGTCCACCCACCCAATTCTAGGCTGTAATGAGTTAGAGGACAAAACATCTGTATTGCAACTGAGCCACTTTATTTCAGGGGCTCTTTGTTATAGCAGCTTAACATACATTATGCTAATTATTACAACACCTTTGATACATGCTGTATATAGACAAGTTTTTCTCTAACTTTCCATTCTGTTTTATGGGTCTGTCTATTCTTGTATCGAAACCACAGCTTCAATTTCAGTAGTTTTATAATATGTTTAAATGGGAGGAAGGAGGGGAGGGGAGTAAGTCTCTCTCACAATTTTTAGAGCATTGCTTGGGTTTTCTCTTGCATTCAATCTTTCAGCTGAATTCAGGTGAATTTTGTCAACTTCCACCGCCTCCTCTTCTCCACCTCCAGAGTCACTGGGGACTTCCCAATCAAAGTGGCCTTTGACAGTCTGCTCATTTTCTAAAGCTGTATGTTAAAATGCCAGGCGTGATCAAGGTGCATTTTGGCTCCCATCTCTTAATATGGTCAGCAGCCAGGAGCTGGGAGTCAGTTGGACCTTTCAAATATACCCAGGAGAGGACAGTATAGCTCAGTGGTAGAGTGCATGCTTAGCATGCATGAGGTCATGGGTTCAATCCCCAGTACCTCCATTAAATAAAATAAATAAGTAAGTAAGTAAAACTAATTACCTCCAACAAACAAACAAACAAACAAAAATAATAAAGTAAAATAAAATATACCCAGTCTACCATAACTTTGTTCACTGGGACAAAGTTAAGGAAAGACCAGCCACGGTTACAGCTCCCCAGAACACTGACATTATGGAGGTGGGTAGGACAAACACTTGAAGAGTCTATGACATAAACCATAGAACAAACTAAATCTTAACAAGTCAGAGCTGCCCACAGTTATAGGTCCATGTTACAGGGGGTGAAGGTGTGGAGGGAGGTGGCATTGCTTCACACCAATGACATATTCCTTCTCAGGATGCTGCAGGGCAATGGCGTTTATCTCAAGAGGGGGATGGGGTTAGCGCTGGGCTGTTAATTGATCTGATCTTTTCTATCCAGTGGTTAGAAATATACCACCTTTGGAGGATGCTTAAGTCAGTCATATACAGAGTAAGTGCCATCTGTTATACTGCATTCTTTCTCCCTCCATTGCTAGAGTACAGAGAAAATAGTTTTTCTACCAGAATATGCAGTTGGTCCACCACTTCATTGAACCAATTTAGGATGCTCAATTTCCTTTGTAAGACTGATTGTTTTTGCTCCATATTTACATCGAGGGCCCTCCACTTTTGGCATCTGGGTAGCATCGTGGCACAGAGTACATACGACTAGAATTCAGGAGGCTGGTTGACCAGCTCCTCTGGTTAACACACCTGCATTGGTTTCATTTTTGCAAAGTATTTCAAAGGAATTAGCTTAAGTGGCTTAGTCTCAGCATTTAGGTTTAAAGTTGCCTTCAGTTTCTCAGTATTAACAAATAAAAAAGTGGCCAGAAAAGAAAGGTAAAACATAATTTAAAAGGCCCTTAAGTATCAGGTCTTTTTGGAACATCAGCATGTGTAAAACACTGCACACTGTGGATTATGCCCCCTGGGTTCCATCTCTAGGTTGTTCTCGGCTTTTCCATTATGACTCTTTTACATTCTTTTAATTTCACTGATAACAAAAAGGAAGTAAATAATAAACACATGTACATAATACATATTTTGGAGGGAATGATCAATATCGTGCTTTTAGAGGTTACAAAATGCAAAAGGAGTTGGTGTAAATTCAAAGCATTGCTCTGAAGCATTAGAGTTACAGATTCTCATGAAGTGGACCCAGTATCCCTCTGGTAGATTTACTGACAGTTTCGCCACCATTTATGAAGAGTGTGGACATAGGGATGGAAGAAGCCCATGCAATCTAAGACTACAGGACACATAAGAAGGGAGAGGGTGGTGTCTGTCCTCAGCCACTCCTTCTGGGGAGGACGGGGAGTGGGGGAAGGGTGTCTTAAATGTTTTCCTTAAGGACTGAAATCTAAGTGGCCTTAAAGATAAGATCTCTGACATCACGATGCTTAGATTCCACAGGAAAAATGGATAATAAACACAGAAATAAGCAAGACAGTTTCAGAGCATGTTAAGTGACACCAAGGCACCAAAAGACTGGGACTTGAGGGAGCCTGGGGGCCACCTGTGAGCCAACAGTCACAGACCCTTCTGTGATGACATGGTTTGGTGGAGACTTGCATTATGCGGAATGGGGATGGGGTTTCAAATCTGGATCGACTCTCGCTTAGGACAAAGCTACCAAGTTTAGGTTCCCTCCTCTAGTTCAGGGACACAAAGAACCTTAGATACTGGTGTCTCCCGGGGCTCTCTGCTTGCTTCCAGCCCCCAGAACAGTGTCAGGCAGACCCTAAGTGTTCCACGAACACTTGTTGAATGAAGGAACAGAGTGCCATCTGCACCTGAACTTGTCTGTCATCTTTCTCGAAGTTGTCGTTCCCACTGTGTTCCCAGGATTTGTGATCGCACATGGTAACCACGTTTTCCCAGCCAGAGGTCTGGGTGTCCGCTTTGGCACCTCCTTCCTCCTCCTGAAAGCTGCACTCCCTCCCCGACCTGAAGCGAGTGCACCGCCGCATCCTACTGGCCTTCCTCTATGCTTGATGTGTTGGGCTCTGGCCACTTGGGTCCTCTTCCTCCATCCCTGGCTATTCCCACCGCTTCTGAGTGGGACTCCTTGCTTTAGGCTTGCACCCTCCAGTTACCGCTCCAGACTTCAGCCAGATGCATCAGGACGGCACATGTCTTCACTGGAGAATTGCTTGTTCAGGTCTTCTGCCCATTTTTGGATTGGGTTGTTTGTTTTTTTGTTTTAAGTTGTATGGTGTGAAGAGATAAATTGGGAGATGGAGATTTGCGGGTAGTAACTACTATAAATAGATAAGCAGCAAGGCCCTACTGTACAGCACAGGGAACTATGTTCAGTATCTCATAGCAACCTATAAAGAATATGGAAATGAATATATGTATGTGTATCTACAGCTGAAAGATTACACTGTATGCCAGAAATTGACACATTTTAAACTGAGTGGACTTCAATTTCAAAAAAGATAGCATATGACTCTGAGCAAACACACACTCAGAAAGCTTCAGTGTCCCCTACGCCTTCCAGCTCCTCAGGGTGGCCCACAGGGCCTGGTGTGGCTGGTCCCCAGCTTCAGTTCTCGTCCCTTGCATCCCCGCCCCAGCTGTGCTCACCCAACACAGCATCGACCTACAGCGGGTGTTCAGTAAACACCTTAACCAGGCTCAGGGTGCAGCTGGGAAACGAGCCAGCTGCCATCGCCCAGTCGCTCAGTTTTAAGGCTGGGCCGGTAGGAGGGGAGAAACTGAGGCAGCTGTGTGAGCTTTTATTCTATGTGAACCCCAGCAGCCCCCTTTTTGGAGGAGCCTCTGGTGGTGAGACTGGGTCCCCTCACAGTGGATGAGAAAGCCCTATAGGGTGTCAGCCAGGCCACCTAGAAGGCACAGACCTCACCAGTATGCGGGGGCAAGGGCATCCCAGGGCCCTTGGGCCAGGTCACATGACGTGGCACCTTACAGATGATTTCACGGCACAAAGGGCCACACGACGCCTTGGAGGTGTTACAGCAGGACAGGCAGGCTGGTGCCAGGCTCCCAGCTTCCAAGAGGTGCGGGTACGTGGAAGACTCCGGCTGGCAGGGTTTAGATTTTTTTCTTTGTAAGCTATTCACCCTGTCGCTTTCCCTCCTGCAGTCCAGCTGCTTGCTTGCTTGCTTGCTATTTTAACTAAAAAAATTTTTTTTTTAGTAGGAGGAGGAAATCAGATTTTTTTAAAATTTATTTTTATTTTAATGGAAGTACTGGGGATTGAACCTACCACCTTGTGCATGCTAAGCACGTGCTCTACCACTGAGCTACACCCTCCCCACTCAGCTGCTTTCTTATTGACAGCTACTCCCCATCACCCCACACCCAGCCCCTCTCCCAGCTGCAGAATAGCTCAGCATCCCCAAAATGAGGGCCCAAGAACCAGACCCCCAGCCAAAGCCCAGACAGAGCCCACAGACCAGCCTGGGGGTGCTGGGGGCTGGGGGCTGGGAGTGGCTTTTGGAGGGAGGAGGGGGCCAGGACCCACAAGGAGGAGCGCCCCCCTGTGTTCAGAGAGGAGAATAAAGCAATTACGTTTTAACGGCCACTTTGCATTAGAGAAGATTGATTTGTCCTTCTGCTGTGTTGTTTCCATAGAAGCAGGGCTTAACCTTTTAGGTGAAGATTATAAAGCTCCCTAATTCATTTAAAATTAGGCTTCAAGCCTATCAGTACTTACTGCTCAAGTGTTACTGTGGGACTTGCTACAGCCGCTGATCTGACCGCCAGCCACAGCCCGTGACTTAATACATTCAAACACGCTCTTTCTGGTAGCAATGCGGTTTCTTCGTTTATTTTTAAAAATTAACTTCATAAGGAGATAAAAGTTCCTGTGTAAGATCACAAGAGTATTAATAAATACCCTTTAATTAATGACTAGCATTAACTCCTCTTTACAAACGCAGGAGGACTGGGACACAGTCATGAAACAGGCACGTCCAATTAAAGTAATTTATTGTATTCTTCCAGAACGGACAGAAAGGGCGTCTTGGGAACTGGTATCACAACACACGTTACACACCATTTTCACAGCTAGCCTTGTGTTGAATTTTTTTTTAAAGAACATAGTCATCTTAAAAAATCTAAATATTTACATATTAATAAAACATATATACAGAAAATTGAGACATTATCCATAGATATGGAATTTTTCTTTGCTAAGAAAGCCTATAAAAAGGATTTCTGAATAAAGTCTGAACAGTAGTCACAGTTAAGTAAACACAAATACAATTTTAATTTACAAAATATGATTTTGCACTTTTATGAAATGTATTTCCCATGTGTGAATCCATTGCATATTTTCTGTGCGCTGCACGATCCCCACCCCTCCTCAAGTATTGAAAAATTCAAGCTCTTGCCCAGCCTTGGCAGGAAGTGCTTTGAAGCTTCCCGGTGTATGTTTAACAGAATGCACAGCCGTAAGGTGAATGTTTCCACCTTTATTCGCAACGTATTCATCTTACTGTAACAGAGTTGAAAGGTCACTAATTAATCTTTTCAATTCCCTTGAGAAAGATATCCTTCTGGGAGGCAGAAGGCAAATTTTAAAACACATGTTGCAGAAAAACAAAAGCCCGGGTTCGCAGTACTTCATCAGACCCCTTAGTGAGCAGAGGGACTGGTTTCCAGGACGGGGTTACTAACAGGCTTGAAATCTAAAAGGAGAACTAAACGTGTGATGGAAACCATTTATCTGAACCTTCCTTGAGGCTCAAAAAAAGATAAATAAAAGACAGGCAGATATGAGATGGAGCTGTCTAGCGGCCGCACTGATTCCACAAGCCACACCTAGAACCAGCTTTGACACGGTCCAGGGATGCGTCCTATGGTCTCGGGTTGATCAGCTGGGCTTCGGTGGGGTACGGATTCATCCCAGGGCCCCCTCCTCGCTCAGGCTTAGCTGTCCGGCGTGACGTGTGTGGCACGAGTACCTTGGACAGGGTAGTAAGGAATTTAGGTTCCAGGCTTGGCCGGGCCGCTGATGGGCTGTTACCCGGCCCTGGGCAGCCACGGGCCTCACTCCCCAGCGGCCTCACCGCCAAACAAGGGCGTGGGGCTGAGGGGCCCAAACAATGCCTCTGAGCTTTAACATTCTGTGATTTGGTAAATGCTAGGGAGATGTGTTAAGTGCAAGCACAGCATTTTTTTCCCTCTGGGGTTTGGTGTTTGTACTGTTCAGATTTCTTCTGGACAATTTTTGGCTTTTGGGTCAAGTGCCAAAGAGTCACAGTAATTTGATTTATACAATAAATGAGGTGGAAATGCAGTGCCTCCCAATAAAAAAAGGTATTTTAAATTCACCATTTTCTTAGAAAAAGGAATCTGGAGGCAAATATTTCCGTAAAACAAATACCCACATGGTAAAGCATTTCTTTAAAATGCATCCACATTTTCATCTGTTGGCTTTATATAAAGTGGAGGCAGGTGTACCAGGACCAAATGAATAATATAATGTTATGTGTATCTGTGGCCAGTCGCCACACAACATCACAACACTCAGTAAAAACCATCTGTCAAATAGTTGTCAGGTATTGTGTGGATAACTACTTTGAGCTTCTCACCTTTTAATTAGTTATTTTGTCACTATGTCGACACAACTTACGTGAAAGATTTTCCTTTCCTAGGAATTCATGTATCACTTACACTTATGAGTGACAAATGATTATTTTGTAGGAAAATGATGTCACAAATGATTTCGTCTAATAGATCAGAGCTGTCCTGTCTCCCGAAACTTTTCCATCCTCTAAGCTGATGAAGGTCTAATTAATTTTGGTCTTCACAACTGCTCCTTCGGTCCTAGAAAGAGCCATACTCCTTGATACAGCATCTAAGCAATTTACGTTAAAATAAATATGCTTCAAAACTCTATACTATATTCACATTGAAGAACACCAGGGAATGGACAATGAACTAACCGGATGATACGTTGGACATTTAAAGTGTGAAAATTCAACTCTAAAGATGATTTTTAAACATCTTAGACCAAATTGGAGGCTTGATTATCACATGAAGTATAAGAACACTATTCAGACGTGACGAGTCGCCCTCACAGAGCGCCCACACTTGGCAGTAACCTGAAATGCTAGCAGACCTTAGAGGAAATTGCAGTGGAAGAGATGCACGTGCTAAGGGAGACTGTCACTACGTGTGAGTCTAGGCAGTGAGACCTGTCTCTGTGTCTTCCGTGTTTTCTCCCCTGGTGTCAAACACATAACCTACAACAGAGGTGAGAAAGTGAAGGGGGCCGCTCCTCTAAGAAAGAGTTGTTTGCTTTCCAAGACACGGTCAGACCGGCAGGCGTTCTGATAACTGCGGAACCTCTTAGGGGAGGTGTCTGTGTTTCACATCTAAATCACTGTTTCTCAGCCCAGGCTTCAGTTGTGCCAAATGAGCAATTTTAGCCATTAGAAAAGTAATGACAATTTTTACAAGAAAACCCGTGAATGTGGGTTAGTATTAGAGTATGTCCATTTCCATTGTCCAGGAATAGAAAATGGCCACATAAATATGATTTACCTGTAAAACAGAGTATTGTGCAGCTATTAGAATGATGCATGTGAAGATTTGTACTAAAATGGAAAATGCTTGCTAGGTGGTAAGACAAAACCAAACCTCAGGAAAGAAAATTGTATGGGTCTGATCTCCATTGTGTAAGTAAACACACGCAGAGGAAAGCCTGGGAAACACCCGATAGCAACGGCTATCCCCGGGCAGCAGAAGTGGCTTACATCTCCTTCCCTGTATTTTCTGTAATTTTTAAAAAGGATGCAAAAGAATGCCACCTGATAACAAAAAATGCTGAGCCTAGGTGTGCTCTTCACTGTTTCAAATTCAGACGCTGCTTTTTAAATTTTTAGAAAGTACCGTTTCGATTTCAGCCTCTATCCTCTTCCTTCCAAGTTGTTCCCCTCTCCCGGTGGCTTTCTCCCCTACCAGAGCGCTGTCTCCACCCCTGGGCTGGGGCCGCCTCTGCTTCCCACTGGTCTCAGGGTGGGGTTTGTTCACCAGAACCTAACTTAGTGCTGATCCCTAGCATCGTCAAAACATGCTGGCTGACGGGGTTGAGGGAAAAAAATCAACAGGTGTTTCCACTATAAAAATCTGTATCCATTTTGTTAAAACGAGACCAACAGAAAGTTGCTTGAGTGCAATGGATTGAGATCATATCAATGGATGCCTGATTGTGACCTTGACCTGGTTGGTTCTGGTGGTTCTGGTCTGCAGAAACACAGGGATTTATACCCCTGCCCTGCCCCTCCCCGACACACTCAAATTTGGAAGGAGAAAAAAGACCTTAAAGAGATAACAGAGGCATTGTTAAATCTGTAAAAAGGACCAAGTGTTGCTGGCTTGGACAGACTGGATGAGGAAGGTCTGGCCAGTGGGTCTCGAATCCAGGGATGAAATTGCATGTACAGAAAAGGGGGGATTCCTCTCTCGGGTGCTCTCATCAGGACCCACGGAAGGAGGAGGGAGTCGGCCGTTAGCTGTATTCAAAGCAGCCCCCAGACTGAGATTTTACTTGAGAGGCACTCGGGAGACAGCTAGTCTAATCAAGATGATTTAATTCCATTACTGCAAAATTTGGACCCTAGTCCGTGACATCTTTTCCCCTTTACAAAATGATAAGTGGTATTATTTATCATGCTGTTTAGTGATGTGCATCAAATATCTAGCGAGAGTCTAGCGAAAAGACCTGCAGGGGTGTCCTACCACCGTCTCTGCCAGGACCTCACGGCCTTGGGTACGATATGGGGAAGGACTCCGGGAGCCAAGCGGCTTCAGGTTGACTTACGACAGACACTGAACTGTGAAGGCGGTGGGGGAGGACACTGAAATGGAATCCTAAAGGGGTTAGTACATCCATCAACTCCTCGGATCTGTAGGAAACATGCAGAGAAGGTACGAGAAAGCTACGTGGTAGGATGGCTGGGAGTTGAGAGGCCTCGGCTCCGGCCAGGCCACCAACCAGCTGTGAGAACTTGAGAAAGTCATTTTGTGTTTCTGGGCCTCAGGCTTTTTTACCTGTAAAATAAAAGGACTGGATAAAAAAGCAGGGATGGGATTAGATGATCTCTAAATTTCCTTCTCTCTCAGAGTCCTTGAAATTCTGTTCAGATCCACGAGGTGGTTCTACCATCCCGTGTTCAGTTTTCTCATCTGAAACATCTCTCTTCCTCCATCTTCAGACAGGAAAATGCAAAGGTGTTATTTCAAGGGGAATGGTTTTTGAATAATAATACTTTTTAAATAAGGCAGCTGTGTCAGATGATAGCCAGGACTGGCAGTGCAAATGGACTGGCAGTGCAAATGGACTGGGGTCAATGGGGCCGGCGGGGGAGGAACGGGGTCCTATCACCAGCTAGGACAGCTCTGCACTCCCCCAGAGGGCCTCCTGGAAGGCACCGTTTCATCATCAGTGGCAGGGCTTCGAGCAGCTACATAAGAGCATGGCTAGTATGAGTTGTCCGGATATTCAGAGGAGGGCAGGTTGGGAAGGAACAATAGAGATCATGCATTTCAACTCTCTCAATTCATAAATTTGGAAACATAGCCAAACAAGAAGAGAAATCTGCCTTTCCTGTAATTTCCGTAAGGACTGTATACAGTAAGAACCTGACAGAAGCGGGCTATTTTGCCCTCTGCGGCCCATTTCATTTACTGGTCCAATCTGCTGTGGAGCTACTCAGTGGCAGAGAAAGCACCGTATTTGCACGGCTGGGTTTCCTGGTGGCTCCGGAGTTCACTGACGTCCACCCATGGTACACTGTGAACTCAGGATAAGTGCCATCAGTGAACACTTGACCTGGCAGAGTTCCTGCACAGAAAGCTACTCCCTTAATACTTGCTGGATTTAATTCAAAACTTACCACCCCAAATGCAGAGAATACGCTGAGTTGAGATTTTCATTTACAGGGTTTTTTGGGGGGGCGGGGGGTGGTCTGGGTTTTGTTGTGAGAGAATCTTCGGGTATTTTGAGGGCAGTCAATAGAGAGTCTTGAGACCAACTGAGGGAATAAACTCTTAGTCACATGTCACTGATCGGACACCTGTCTCTAGGGCTCTCAGGTGTGAACCCACACAGAGGTAGGAGGCCAGGGTCAGAAGTATTACTTGAGAGTCAAATAATAAGAAATCAGATTTAAGTCTGTGGCTTAACACTGCAGCAGATGCTTGGGGTGCAACACTGCACACAGCTGGTCGGGTCCCAGTGCCCCTCCGCTAGACGTGGGCTTAGTCACTTGCTCACCTAAAACAGTATTCACTGGGTGCCCATTGTGTGAAGGCTATGACTGACTCTGCCTCTCAAAGCCTTTTAGGGGGAGGCAGGAGAGGACAGAACAAACGTGAATTTCATCATAAAACTGATGATCACTAATCTAAACAGAGATGTCCTTTCCTGGTAAAGTATATTTTTTTAATGTCCGAAGGTTTGGGGAGGTGAACTGCTGTAACACTAAGTTCTCAAGACCTGCTGTTCTGAGGTTTTCAAGAAGATGAAACAGAATGTGAGAAAACTGTAGCTTTTCATATTCAATGTGAAAAATCTCTCTGCACGCAGGACAGCGAGCACCTCTGATTACCGGGGCTGGTTCTCTTACAGAAGCGTCTGCATCTCTGCTGTTAGAAACATTTTTAATGCAAATATTTTCACGTGCTGCATTTTCCAGCGGGTGATGAGAATGTAAATATGTTTTACCTGTTGGTGGTAGAGAAACGCCATCCAGCCTTTCATCACCGTCAGCCGCCTCTGCTGGTTACAAACGTACAACACAAATCTCATTAGTTTCAGGAAGCACATTCATTTTGCAGAATACAGTAATGCAATTTAAAAACTCCAGCGTACATAATAGTTTTCACCTTTTCCCTTCGCAGCTTTTCAGCCAGTTCACGTTATAGATTTTAGTACCATTATTGAAATAAAATATTTTTCAAATGATGATATAAAATCCATTTTCCTGTATTGAAATTTTTTATATCTTATGAAACTTACTCTATCAATCATTAATGATTTCAGTTCATTTTCACTGATTTGCATAGGTTTAAGTATCACCCCAGAATCTGGGATGAAGGCACGGAGGTCAGTGAATTCCTATGGTTAGAATTTTACTTGTCACCCCCAGAATCCTTCCAGTGGGGCAGGCTTAGGTTCTTGAGAGTGAAACCTTTTTTTTGGTGATGACTGGAAATTCAATCTAAAATGAGCATTAATTTAGTCATAAAATCCGAAGGAATAAGTGTTTCTCCAAAAGATTCATCACTTCCATGCTTTAAAAAGCAAAACTTTGCTCATCTCTGATACATTTCAATCTCTGTAAGAGTTTTCTAAAGGCAGATCCTTCAGTCCCAGAAAACCTTCCACCAAGGACAAAAAAGAAGGTGCCCATGTGT